GAAGAATGCTATACATCACTTAAATATATATAAAAGGCAAACTCTAAACTGGCCAAACAGCATACAGATGTGAATCAAGCACGGATGCATTTGTTAGGGCTATATACTTTCTCATTTGTGAAGCCCTAAATATTGTTTCTATTAGACTGCAACATGTTATGAAGTCTGCCGTTTATTTACTTGCAATTCGTTCTGTATTTTCGTAATTATCTACATGTTTCAAATGCAGTTGCATGTCTAATCACAATCAAAGTATTTCCAAAGGTACACACAAAAGAATGGGCAAAAATTGCCCATTAAACTAAGAAATCATGACCTCCTTTAGGAGTCGTTATAAATGAGTACTCAAAGCTGAAGGGGGGGAAATGAGGCCAGCTGTATCTCATGAGAAGAAGAGGAAAGGGGGATTTAAAAGCTGCCAGTAGAGTTATTGCATCATGTCTGTGTTTAGTGCGGCCTTGTGGGGGCTCTGCTCTTATCCCCCATCTTTAAGAAGGCAATCAGGGGTGTAATCCTGCAAGTATTGGGGGAATTGTCCGAGACCCAGCCCAGACACTGATCTGATTTAAGTGTCATCAGGAAGCTGTCAGTTAAGATGAGCCAGGAAGTGTCTGCTGGGGTTAAGAATTACAGTACCTTTCCAGGGAAACTCGTAAAGGAAAAAAATCCGATATTACTGTAGAAAGACGATCACCCTTTTAGATGGCATCAAAGCTCACTTAATATCTTTTTATCTGAAGGAATTGTTAGAGGAAGACTGTCCAAAATGAGAGCCTGTGAGATTACAGCAAAAAACAAATTGTTCATCTGTGTTTAGTATTTCTGCCAAACATGGCACATTGTAAACTGTGCCAACGTGCAATTCTAAGAATTATTTGATGCTTTATTAACATTTTTGGCCTTGAATTTAAACAAAAATAACAGTTTGTTAATTTTTTTTAACTTAAGTTATTTTCTATGCTAAGTGTTTTTTGAAGACATCGCTAAAGAAAAATGCTATCTTAAAAAAGCAACACGTAAGTAATTAATCAAACTGACGTCATACTAAAGCAACAGTCTTGATTGCAGAATCTTTATCTTGCAATATTAAACCAAAACAGTGTCCTGTTACCCTTGTGCAGAAGACATATGCCTTTTGTTTTCACATATCAGTGGAAAAACCTCATATTGATTTAGAGTGGCAGGGTGGAGATGTCATCCGAATGTTTTTCACTTGTAATGAAATTATCCAGGGTCCTCTTCTTGGTTTATGGTCTCCGTGCTGTTGGATGACCAGACTTTATTAATCTGTCAGAACTCCACATGCAACAATACAGCCTCAAGAATCTCAGGGAGTTCTAGTGAGTTTCTGCTCTACGGGAAAAAGCCCTCACAATACTTATTACAGTGTTCACATGCTCACACAAGGAACACCAATGAGTCACACACTCAACACTGCAGTTCTGTGACTCTCATGCATTTAGAGCTGTATTTCCACAAGTAGTGCTTTAAAAGGTGACATGATGTTTTAATCAGTTCTCTGCAAGTAAAATTAAATTAGAAAATGTAGTTGGAACAGACCTGTTTTCAGATGAGGCCTAGTGTTTTTGTACCACTTGCCAGGTTGAGTCATAAGTGTGTCAGAGCTATTTGAACCCCTAAATGGACCATTTACTTCAAACGGAATTACACACAAAAAATCTAGGGCTATTTGATGCTGAACTCGTTAAAAAAGTTGAAGGAGTATGTTTATATGCCTATCTAGGGTTTTAGAAACGTTTCAGTCTGTTAACCCATCCAACTCTTAAAAAAAAATCAGTAATACATTCTGAAAAATCTATTTTACAGTAAAAGTGCTTTGTGTATATATGGTTTTGTGTATGTACCTTTAGGGTTTTTAAGCGTTTAAAAGTTGCATGTCTACCTGAGCTAATGTCAGTTTCCTTAAATTGTAAATGTCACAGGAAAATTAATGATGCAGTAGGGTTTGTTGACAGTAAAGGTATTTAAAATTATATTGAGAATTTCCAGATGTAGTTTTAACCTCTTATTTTGTACATTTCAATCAAAGCTAGAAGTTACAGTTGTTTTTGGAAAAGCAATTACTTGCATGATTCATTTGTGATAAAATGAGTTTACGTCTGGCCGGCAATTTGGTGATAATGCTAGAAAGGCTTTCAGGTAAAAAAGCACTCATATATTTTGCAATGTATTGAAGGTTCAATCGGCAATGTTTCATCCATAACTGTATATTTAAACATAGTTCATTTCAAGTCTGATTTTAAAACCATTAGGGAAAAGCAATGTTGTTTGTGTAGCAGAAGGAAACATCAAAGTCTGAATCGCATATTTACACCATACAGTATATATATTTTAAGACTAAATACAATCCAGCTAAAGATAATAAATAGTAAATAGCATTAGAAGAGGACTTAACATGATCTGCACAGCAATTTCTGCAATTAAGACCAGTATTACACAATTCAGAAGACATACAAATATCAAATCTGTTTGTGAACCACATGGAGGAACATGCTGGACTAAAAAGTGTTCCATCCACCTGTGAATATATATATATATATATATATATATTTGTTTTTGTTTTGTTTTTTTGTTTGTTTGTTTTGTCTCGCTAGTCAATAAGCATTTAAAAGGTTAATTTAAAACGTCACAGTTGTGTAGCAACCGCCTAATATTATCCTTCTTCAATTCTAAAAAGGGTTCATGGGTTTCAGTCACATTACGCACATCCTCCTGCCCAGTGCTTAATTTGTAAATGAATAATTGCTGGATCCAAACAAGCAATTAAAAGGCGCTGTGACCGACACTGAAAATACAACTTACGTTTTCCCGGAACATTCAATGACATCACTAAACGGTGATGCCGCAATTATAAGAGAGCATCGTCCACAAGTTTCTGCATTAACCTAACTAGGGCACAGCTTCAAACCCTGGGTCAAAAAATGGGTTGCCAGGATGATTTTAGGAAAATGTATATCTAAGATACGTTAAAAATAACTACATTTGTTTTCATAAAAATAAAATTCAATCATAGTATAGGTATAAATATACAAAAAATTAAGACTTAAGTAACAGTTTTAAATAAACGCGCTTGCTTTATTTTACAAAATCACAAATGTTTAGTTGTTATTTTGAGTATGCAAAAATAAAAGTAAACACTTTGTGCTTTCGAATTTATGTCTGACCCCTGATTTGCACGGCACACGTCTGCTGCGCGTTAAGGCCCTTTCACACGGTACGCGGCAGTCGCGAGTGTCTAGTTCATTCTCAATGGGAGACATGCGGAAAGCGGCAAAACGCGGGCGGTTTCGCTGGCGGCGCGGAGGCGGAGCGCAAGCGGGGCTCGTGCACCCAAAATCCTGCCGCTTCCACGGGCACGGCGCTTCGCGGCAGGTGCCGCCAAAGATAAAAATATTTTATCTTTTTATGAGCGGCAGCGGCAGCGGCAGCCGCGTTGGTTTCAACCAATCAGTGAACATTTAACTGAACTGCCTATTGGAAAAATAGAGGAGATGATTGTTTTAAGTATAATAGGTCTGAATACTTTCCGTACCCACTGTATACACTGTATCTAATTTGCATATTAAAGTGCTGTTGGGACAGCATGTTGAAAAAAGAAGTGTAATAATGGGAGTAGTAATTGGCCAGATTTTCATAATAATATCTAATATTTCATAAGAATATTTATATATAATTTGTTTTCCTATTCAATTCTTTTGTCTCCCAACATGTATAATAAATATGCTTTTAGTCCTGGTGTCCTCTACAGTGGACATGTATGAAATGATGTCCTGTTTCGTAACAGAAGGTCATATTTTGATTTGAAACCCCATAACATTTTTAATATTATTGTTATTATATAATTGCCTGCCGAATGTACTAAAGCGATTGTTTCCGAATTCGACATTCGATAATAAATCTCTAATAATCATGAATCGGTTAGTCGTGATTGGGAATGCACTTCGGCTCGCGCGCGCTCCGTGTCTCCGCCAAACGGTGTAGATCAGAGTAATCAATGCAAGAGAATTGAGTGGACTGTATAAGCGCACAGGTGGAGCAAAGAAGC